TGCTGAGGAGAAAAGTTCTTCTCGGGATATCCGACCGCCTCTCTGGCCATCTTAATCCCGGAAATCGCAACCTTGCACGACTTGCGTGTGGTTCCTTCTTATACGGGAGTTTCCACATACAGCCGCTCAGGTGCTGGCCTTGTTGGGTGTGCTGCCATCCGACCGGTGTCGTTTTTGCGTTCCGGTCACGGCAGCTTTTTTGGGGTGTGCTGGTTCCCCTGGGGGTCTACCTAGCACAGTTTTGGTGGTTTTTCCGCCTGGCGGCCCCCGAGAGTCTTTTACCACTCTTCGGTACTTTGCCAGCTGCGGAGCCTGACGGTTCTGCTGAGGAGGTCCCGCCGGTATTTTGTGGTGTAAGATGGTGGTGCTTTCCTCCCCATCATTCCCATGAGTAGCTAGGGAAGGGTTAAGTCCATCCACACAGAGCCCGGCATGTGTGGGTAAGGCTGATACAATGAGGTGTGCCTGTTGCCTCAAGGTTAGTCGCTTTTGGCTGGGCTTCCCCCCAGCCTTGCATCTCTTGGCACGTATACTTGGACGTATCTGACCGCCCTTCCCCATATCCGCCACCTGGGGACGCGCCCGATGGGTCGCTCAACCTGCACGGGTTTACTCCTAACAGTAATTTCCCTAAACTGAGATGCAATGGACTGAAAGTGGAAAGACGGATTTGCTGCACTTTTCATGATCATGGTTTCTCTTCGAAAAGTGGCAGTTTTTGAATGTTTTGAATAAAGAAGAATTACTAAGGTTTTTTATGATTATATCGCATTTAAATAATTAATTTTGATCAGAACGCGAACGTAAAAACAAACTTGGAATTACCTACATACGGTCGCAATTTTTCGCGTCAGAGTAAATGGAAACATAAAAAAATCCAAAAAGGAGGTAAACTTTTCGAGACTGCTACTGGATACAGACGTAGAGGAGGATTCAAGCTTTACGAGGTCCAGGACTATGTTATAATTATTGGAAAATAGAAATCAAAACGTTGTTATGATTATTTATCCTCTTATATTATTATGATATTTTTTATCCTTTTAACCACAATAATATATCTTCTATTCGAGTTAGCGGGGCTCTCTCAATGTTGGGGCCCGGGGGCTACAATCCCCGCTAGCCCCTCCGTTAATCCGCTCTTGTAGAAACGTACGTTAATAGTCAACCGTCAAATTATTGCTAGGAGGAAATATGTATAAAATTTAAAAAAAACTTCCTAAAAACGTTGAAGGCAGCTTCATAATTTGAAAAATTTAGGGTGGAAGCAATTTAAATGAAACAAAATACTGAACCAATAACATATACCTATATTTCAAAACACATGAAAAACGTTTACGTATGGTATCAAAATCAACTTATTTTTGCTATGCTCTTCTATCTGAAACCGGTAAAGTGTTTTTTTTTTTCAGTCTTTCCGGCGCGTACCTGAGCCAATTTGGAGATTCAATGTCAATGTCTTTTCTTGTTGGTATACAATACATTCTAGCAAACCATCTGTAATAAGAAAGAGATATATTCATCGTTTATAAATCCAACTAAATGTTCTTCAGCAACTTCTACTTCAGGCCTCGCCACCGATGTTAGAACTTGTTCACGAAGTCTATTCGGATCACATCGAGGGTCAGGCAAAATCAAATTCTTAAAGCCCTCATTAGAATGCTGGCCTCATTAGAACATTGTAAACTTTAATAATGTACTTGTTCTTTGTGCATACGGGCATTAGCCATAAAGTCAATTTTTATGAAATAACTGGATGTGTCGTGCAAAAGTGATATAAAGAGAAGATCCACAATCAGTCTGCCCGCCTCATTAAGAGCAGTGGAATCAATGGCTTTCTTTAGCACGAGTTCTCGGATCAGGTTTTCGTCGAAATTTTTTAGAGCTTCAATGGCAGAAAAACGCTTAACTAGGCTGGCACTTTTCCACGTTCACAAAACCATCCCGATTGAAGTGAAGGAAGTCATAACTCGTTTTATGCGAAGACATTTGAAGAAAATGTATTTCGTTATGTGAATTACATATCATACAATACTTTTCTAATTACATTTATTGTTGTAATTGAATTAAAGTCTGTCCTGATTGATCCTCTACTACATGATCCCCTGACTTGATAGCTGGATTCGCCCTTGATTACTCAAGTGTTTTTATTAAATAACCATTTAAAAAAGTAGTGACGGCCAAAACCTATTTGTAGATATGTTTCGACAACTCAATTAAAACAGAAAAATAAGATACAACCATGCGAAAAGTCTTGGAACTTTTATTTAGTCATATAACTTATTCCTGCAGAAACTGTATAATAATCTAAATATGATGTGAGTTTCAATCCATCCATCAATGGACCGATGGAAGCAAAATGTATTTGCAAATCTGATCTGTTTACATCTGAAGCAACAGTTTTCGGATCCCCATACTTCACTTTTTACATGTCAACTAATAATTGCTACCTACATTGTTTTGCTTCGATATCAGATATTCTGGCGAAGCACTATAAGTTGTTTAATATAAATTTACTTAGACAAAACTGTAGCTTTAAATCACGGAAKATGTTTAAGTTTCCGTACTTTCACCATTATGTCGRCTTTAAATATACAGGGTGTCCCGTAAGCTCGTGATAAAAAGGGTACTGTGATATTCCTTGCTTCAAAAGAAGACGATCTGACCTAACTTTTATTARCGAAAAATGTCTGGCTCCTCTGCTATTGATGGTCAAAGTTCTTCAAAACATTTATCTTTTTTGAAATATTGGGAGAACGGTACGATGTATTCTAGTGAAACTCGCTGTGACTCTGTTCTTATGTAAGACTCATATTTTGATG